CTGTGATTCTGTGATTCTGTGATTCTGTTTATGATCTGCTTTTAGTCATCCTTTAGCTTTTCTGTTGCAAACTGTTACAACAGTTACACAGGCATTTAAATGGACTTTGTTGCTTCTTATTAAGAAGAAATCTTTGAGCTTCAGTAAAATCTGTGGATCTCTTTGGAAAAGTCTTTTGTCAAAAAGACAAAATTTTTATTTGATGCATAAGGTGGCATAACTTTCTGTTTTGTCTCTCTTATCACTTGGTCTGCCTTTAATTGCTGGGGTTTTTTTAATTCTTTCAGGAGGTGTAAACATCCATGCCCTTAGCTGAACAGAGAAACAGCACACTGGTTTCACAGTGACTTTACACCTATTTGCATAGCGAAGGCTGTCATTTGTGAAATGCAAACATCCCAGAAGTGTCTCACGACTAGGCTGCTGCACCTTGAACTTGGTGCCAGGACTTCGCTGCAGCCTGCCTGATCTGCCTCCCTCCAGCTCAGAGAAGAGTCTGGTTTTCTCATGCTACTTCCTGGCTGCTGAAGTTCTACCTTCCTTTTCTAATTTTTCTTTTCTGATAGGTTTCTAGTATCTGTGGGTGTTTAATTAACTTTACTTCGAGCTTACAAACAAGCATCCCCTTGCATGACTTCCACTGCCTCCTCCTTGAAGACTGGCATGAAATCCAGCAGAGAAAATCTCTGGTACCGTCCTTTACCTTCTGTGTTGTAAAAATGTGAGGGCTTTCAACAGCTTGGCTGCCTGAACTGGGGGATGCTGAGAAGCTCCAGGTAGAATGGCTCTGTGGATCCAAATCTTAAATCAATGGCAGTGTTAGAATCAAGAAAACAAATAAGGAAATTTAATAATAGTAAGCTGTGATGCATCATAAATACAAAAGCAAGAGATGCTCTGGTCTCTGACTTACGTACATGAAAATAGAGGCAGAAACTGTGCCTGCGCTCATCCTGAAGTGCTGTGCCAAAGATGGGACCAGAGCACAACCTTTCTAACTATAAGCTTTAGCATCCTATGTGCTTGTCCACACATTCTCTGAAGCGAAAGAGTTCTTTGAACAACAGGACACTGAAACAAACCCAAAATGGTAGAGAAGCCAGAATTTAGTAACAGTAAGCAATATGAGATCTCTAATTTCAGCTCATTCTTGTGCTCCACGTGAAAGGCTATGGAAACCTCTCGGTAATTTTATCTCCTGTATTTTGCAGCCACATCCAGTAGGACTTGGTGGGTAATGACAACAAGGGTGTCAGCTGATGGGATCTCATTCAAGGCTAAGATTCAGATTCTTGTAATTCACGGAAAAATCTCCTGTTGGCACTGGGTTGTGTGAATTCAGCTCTCTGCCCATGTAACTCCTTAGAGCTTCAGATGCAGCAGGGTCTCCCTGTCCTGGTTTGCCTGTGTTTCATTTCTTAGACCTACCAAACTAGTCTCATGGTAATCTACTGTACTGCTGCTTCATGAGGCAGCCTGGGCTACCAGATGCCAGAAAACATTAATGAATGGCTGCTGCGTGTTCAGAGGGCCATTGCACAGGCACAGAGCAAAGGGGAGGGTGTCCTGGGCATCCCTTGGCAGAGCGTACCGAGGAGTGCTAGGACAGTTTGAGCAACCTTTCACCCTTGTCCTCCCTCTGGTCCTGCACTGAGCCCTGCCTGCAGGACACAAGTCCCTGTTGCCACTCTGCCTCGAGGCAGCGCTTTTCGCTTCAGTAGGTAGCCAGCCTCTCCAGCAGAAGAAGGACTCACAGCCAGGTTGACTCTGCTATGTAAAACATCAGTGAGACACTAACCAGGACAGCTTAATTAACAGCAAAAAGGGATTTAGTTACCCACGATTTGGAAAGCGAACACTGAAAATGGAAGAAGTGGGAAGTAGTAGAGAAATGAACAGGTGGGGAGATAGGTGAGAGAACATAATATTGAAAGTATCCTACTGCTAAAGGAAATTCCTCAAAGCTTTAGCTTTAACATTTGATCTAATGATTTTGACACCAAAAGCAGACAGGCGGTGGTGAATTTTTACCATGAGATAAAGCTTTCAATATAGCTGAAGTCAGAGACAACATAGAAGGTGGACTGGATAGTCTTGAGGATGTGAAATTCGGTGGTACATAGTACTAGATCATGCCCTTGCATATGCATATTAAATATTTCTCTTCTGAGCTGGGACTCCATCCATTTGAAACGCTGAGCAGGAGGAGGCCTGGCCTGGGCTGCTTGCTCCCGAGACAAGCGAGGTCTCAGTGCTGTGCGACGTTGGCAAAGGCGGGCGCAGGGAGGAAGCAGACGTTCTGCATGTCCTGTGATTTGTTGCATGGCCTGGGAAATTCTCTCACTGAACTTCTAATCTGAGGTTATGTTTTAAATTTAGTACTATTAAAGACGTTTGTTCTTTAAAATACCTTCTGTTTTTCTCTTTAGTGGCCCTTACTCCAAAATGTCAGAAAGAAGGCTGGTTTTGAGAAGAGGGCCTAAGAATGGCCAAGAGGAGGGAAGTCCTATGTGCGAAGCAGAAGTCTGTGAGATGGCGTTCTGCATAAACCTGCCTGTCTGGTTTCAAGATGTGTGGGTTTCCATTCATCTCATGGGTCAGTTTTACTATCCCCAGCATAGCTACTGGGGCTTGTCCTGAAGAAAGGTAATTCCCTATGATCTGTCCTGCCCAAATATTTACAACCCCTTTCTGGATTTAGTCAACAATCTTCCTTACCAGTCAACCTTTAAGCGCATCTCTGCAGAAGGACGTAAAACCCAGCAGGACTCCCTTATCACATGGCATTAACTGACGTGACGCTGTCATTTTCGGTATGTGTGACTTCTTGCCTCCAACCCCCATGCTGAGATCTCGTGTTCCTTTTTTCCCCAGGGTCATGTCGTACACAGAGTCCCCACTGTGGCTTTGCTCTGCTGGGTCAAGGGAAACATGAGATGACAATTTTTACCTTTTCTTATCAATGGTTCAATCTGGAGAAGGAAAACCAAGAGGTGCTCGTGGATCTCATCTTCAAGGTTGATTTTATAAATCAGGGCAGAATGGACAAATGGATCCTCTCCAGGGCTTTTGACCTCCTGTACCTTTAAGAGAGGGGCAGCAGGATGACATCTAACAGGCTCTGTAGCTGTCCCAGGTTTTAACTGTTTTCTTCTGAATAGCAAGTACGTGATTCAAAAGCAAAAGCTTCTTGTATTTTTGCAGTAGCAGCATTGGAAATATTTCGTGCATATATAAGATCCAGCATCCACGCAGACTGTTGTTGTTTTCTGCAAGTTTTTGTAAGTTTGGGGAAAACTTAATAAGTACTGTGTCTCTTTTTTTCTTTAAAAAAGACAGGGAGAGAAAGCCTGCATTTTCTGCCATTTCCCAAGAGGCTTTTTATCTGTTTAAACCAACTAGGGATTTTTCACATATTGACATAAGCATTCATTTGCTAATTTGCTGGACATTAAACTGCACAGCATTCTTGAATGAGACTCAAATACTTGGGTACTTAGTGCTGCTCAGACCCCGCATCATTCCCAGTACACATATGGTTTTCCTCCTCTATCTCCTAGATAAAAGTCACTGTTTGATCGCCTTAAGGAAAAGAATGAGTTAAATGGACCAATATTCTAGCCTTGGCTCTAAAACTGGGCCTTTTCAGAAACTCCTCAGCACCTGCAGCAGCTAGGTCATTTGCACATACATAAATAAATAAATTAACAATGAATAAATAATTTAATCCCACCACACAATGCCACCTTGCAGATCTGATCCTTTGCTCCCAGTGAATTTGTCCATTCCTAATTCTTTTTGATAAAGTCCTCAGATACTTGCTGACTGTCAGTCTAATTTTCTTATTGTTTTCGCTTGATTAGTTCTGTATGACCTAAGGTCGCCCTTAAAATCCACATCTCTCGTGAAGACTCCGAAAGGCCTTCTTTTTTTCAAAGGATGGAAAGTGCCTGCCATTTCTCCGGACAAAAGCCTGGAAGGTTTTCAGTTATTAGCCTCCTGAAGCAGCCCTTTCGCTCACCCAAGCGCAAAAAAAACTCATTAGGGGGCACCTTTCTTTCTGGCTTCTTTATCTGACGCATGTAGGGTTTACGTGTTTCAAGATTTGCAGGTCTCGGATGAATTCGGACAGCCTCCCTTTTAACCCTGCCGGCCCGCGGTTATGCCCACCGCAGACATTGGCCGTAGCTCCGTGCCCTGAGCCACCTGGAGATGCTTCGTCTGTTTAAAAGCCGCTTTACACCCCGCTTCGTGGCGAACAGAAGACGCTTCAGCGCGCTGCTGCACTTTGAAGCCACGCTCCCGCGGGGTGTGGGTGGAAAGGCAGGCAAGGCTGCCAGCTGCCGACAGGCTCCGCGTTATGCACTTTGCAATTAAAATATGAAATCGAAGTTAGTCCCTCAGTCAACCCTTATTACCATGGGAGGGATTTGCAAGAGTAAGGCAGCACAGCTCCGAGAGCCTGCTGTGGCTGGGCTGCACCCTGCCCTGGCCTGCTTGTTCTTTTCCAGGCAGCAGAGTAAATACATACAGGTTGAGTTGCCTTCCTGAGACGTGCCAGGTGGGCTAGAACTAGAGAGACTCCCTAAAGATGTGTCCCCAAATGCATTTTATCTGGGCATCTTACCCTTCCGAGTGCAAAGCTGCTGGCTCCTGCGTTCACTAGGGTTGAGGTTGTAAGCCAGGACAGCACCTGCTCCGCCATGCTTAGTGGTGCCCAGCGATGCCATACCTCTGGTCACCTGTTACGAAGAAAAGCAGCCTGAAACTGTACTGGCAGGTATTACAGTAAGGAATGTTTCTCGCTTACCTGGGCTCTGGTATGTCTGTTGGTTGCAAAGAGAGGTAGGAGAAAGCCAACTGCGTTTTCTCTTTCAGAAGAGGGCTGCCTAGTCTCTTTGATGAGAGACCTCAATTCAGGCTGGGATCTGAGCCTAAAGAGGAGAAAGATGCACAGAAAGAGAAGGAAAATAAGCAGGTCCAAAAAGCGCAGATGGAAGACATCATGGGGAGGTATACAAAAACATATGTCGTCCTCCTGCAATACTACTTCTCTTGCCCTGAAGAGCAATTTGTTTTCTCCTGGGGTAGAAATGACTGTCATCCCTTTGGGTTAAACTTTGGTAGGAAAGCTCTTGGCTGAAGCTGAGGTCCTGCTTCCAAGCACACAGATTAGAATTTTTTTACAATGAGGGTGGTGAAATGCTGGCTCAGGTTGCCCAGAGAGGTGGTCGATGCCCCACCCCTGGAAACGTTCAAGGCTGGGTTAGACAACCTGATCCATTTGAAGATGTCCCTGCTTATTGCCAGGGGGGTTGGACTAGATGGCCTTTAAAGGTCCCTTCCACCCCAAACTATTCTATGATTCTATGCTTACAGTTTTGTGGCCACTAATCTTGGTCCTGACCGTTTTCAGGGATATTGTTATTGTGGGGTTGGAAGAAAGCACCCTGGTGACCACTGTTATTTTCCTAATTCGCCAGTTCCTCTGAAATCCCTGTGATACCGACACTTTACCTCCGTCTGGTTTTCAGCAGTTCCTCTGGACTCTGAGTGAAACAGCCCTCAGTAACATAAAACAGGCCAGGTGCATAAGGCTGAGTTTACTTGCAAATCCTAACAGGGCCAGGACTGTGAACTGCATTGCTTTTGCTGCTGGCATAAATTCTCAGCAGTGGCTAGCTTGACTATGGTATAAAACAATGCAGAAGCTGTGTGAGCTACTCCCCAGTACAATGTAATAGTTACATTATGGTCTGAGGTACGGCAGAAACAAGAAGAAATGAGAAACGAGACGGGAATTTTAGACTGCAACCTGGCAGTAGTGTGGAGTTTAATCTTGACTTGTAGCCCTTTGTCAGTAGGGACCTGCCCCCAGTTTCCAATCTGCTGATTAACGACTGAGTCACCACCAAAATTCATTCCAGTCTTTGTAACCTGACTAATCTCACCTCCTGGAAAACTTTGGGACTACAGTGGATTCTGGAGCACATCGTTGGAACCACATAGAAATCATGGTATTGTGGTATATCGAATCTGTAGAGACAGCTGAAGGCACCAGGAGAAAAATCACAAGGAGAAATTGTATTGGCACGAGAACAGGACAACTCTTGTTTATAACTTTTTGCATCAGCGTCCTTCCCCCCACCCCTCAAGCTATTAAAAGCTTACTGAGTAAACACGACCCAGCGATAGAAAAGGAGTTCAAAGATTCAGGTGAAATTAAGTCCCAGCATCTCACGCAGGAGACCGTGTGCCTTCTGTTGAAGCAGTAAGACATCTGACCCTGGAAATCCTGGTAAACACCAGCTAGAACAGTGGCAGGTGGTGATGTCCCTGGAGATTCACTCCTCATTCAGAGGATTTTCTATCTGAGAAAGCATCATTTTAGCAGTCTGATGTCTGTTGGCATAGAACTATGATCCGTAGAACAATTTCTGAAGACGCTAGCGACTTTGCTGGGAATTTGCTGGTCAAGTACACTGTATTCAGCTAACAATTAGGATAACTTCATATTTTCCTTCAAAATAATTATTATCTGTTGTTGTTGCTCATTGTAGTGCCACTACATTTTGCATTTTGGTGTATTGATTGAAGTTTTGACATCCAGTCTGAAATTAGATGTGAACTCTGCAAGCTTCAGAAACTGAATTCTAAATAAAGACATCAGGTTGGATTTCGGGAGTTGGTGAGACATTTGGCTACTCCTTGAGCTCTGCACGGTTTCCCGATGCCAAGCATTGTCCACCCCGAAAAGGAGCTAGCAACTTAAGGTTATGAAAAAGCTCAGCTGTGATTCGGATGTCTTGGTGGTCAGGGTGTGGGCAAATGCGATTTGTTGTAGTGGAGAAATAATGGTGTTTGCAAAATTCTGTTCTAACATGGTGCTCTGTTCCAAAAATGTAAAGAAAGTGGAAGAGTACGGGGTTCAGTGTTAAAACAGCACCTGGCTAAGAATAAGCTTTCTTTTTAAAATGCACGAAGACACACTTCAGCAGCAAAACCGGCTGGTGATGAATCCTAAAACAAATAAACAAACAAACAAACAAACAAGCAAAAATAATTTTTCTTAAAAAAGATATTAAACATTGTCTGTCCTATAATGTATCTATTTGTGATGAGATGCCAGTTCCCGCGCACGTTCAATGAGAACACAGCATTATTCTGTTCGCTCATGTTAACAGCCAGAGCTGGTAAAAATTTAGTTACTGCAGAGGAGAGGAGAGGAGAGGAGAGGAGAGGAGAGGAGAGGAGAGGAGAGGAGAGCAGAAAATTGGTTCCAGTTCAAATACACAGCAAAATTCTCCCCTAGTATGCACGCACTTAAACATACTGCTCTTCTGATTTTGTATGTAGGTGTTTTATACATGGAATTCCTGAAGTCCTTTGCTTCATGTTGGCAAAGGTGGCAGGGGAATAGTGTGGCTGCTATTACACCCACATCTCGGAGCTAAACTAGTGCTGTGGAGGGGCACAAGCTTCTGCGCTTGACATTTGGACCACCAGACTGTGGAGAAAGGTGTGCTGGCTTTCAGTGGGTGGCTAACGGTTTTGTCTGAGGCAGTGCTTGCTGGAGGGAAATAGTAAAAACCCATTCTTCCCCACCTGAAATGCTTCCCCGCTTTTCCCACCTGTTCTAGCAGTATGTGCAACCAGTACATTAAAAATAACTGACAGCTGGGATAAGCAGCCACTGAGACCCTTAAACACCCATCACCTGTGTCAGTTCAGTGGCTGGACTTGCTACACCTTCAGTCTGCATAACAGACACGAAAAAAAGTCAGAATGTTGGGGCATTTTTTTAATGAACAACAGGCCTTGCCAATAAGATGGAAGAAGAAGATTTTATTTGGCTGAGTCACTGGAGGCTGAACTTCTCTTAATTAAATGTGGTATTTTAGCATGGAGATGTGTAGCCCCTCTGAAATATCTGAGCAGATAAATTAGGCTACTTGCCAGGCAGCAGTGTGGGTGGGATTCAGCTGCCCTGATTTTTGCCTTACTTACATATCTGAACCTCACCTATTGATCCTGTGTTCCCTCCCGATTCAAAAGGGGAAGGATACATATTCCAAGGAAAACCCACTCATTTTTAAGGGAGGAATTAAAATCAGTTTGATAAAGTGTCCTCTGGAGATCCCTGTTTGTCCCTCTTGACTAGAAGGGTTGTTTCGAATTATTAATTCATCCGCAGACCTCTACCTCTTAGACATCTAGCATTTAGCTTGAAGTCAGATGCTTATAAATTTCAGTATGTCCTTCTATTATCAGACCACTGAAAACATTTTTCCTTTGTGGTATGACGTTGAGCTATGACAAAATAATTTTTACAGGTGCATGAATGAAAAAATCCCATTGGTCCCATGCCATCCTGACATTTTAGCCCGGTGAGGAGTGAAACTCGCCGGCACCCCGCCTGTGCGCTTGTGGGCCTACAGGCTCTACAGCACCCCATGTCCTCACCTTGTGCCCCAGCGGCTGTGATGAGATGCTCAAAGGGGGTTTGTGCCCTACCAAATGGATGTCATTGTCCTGAAACAATTTACCACCTTGATTTTTTTTTTCGGTTTGCAGTTACAGGGCCTGGAAGACTCTGCGAAGGGCCTTTAGGGAGCTGGATGCTGGCAGCAGGGGCTACCTCTCTGTTACAGAACTCCAGTCCCAAAATCCCCAGAACTTCCTGCTAGAAGAGGTGAAGTTTACCATTCTCTCTCTAAATGTGATCCCAATCTGAAAAGGCAAATTGATTACAAATGCTTTTTGGAAGAAGCTCATAAAAAAATCCAGCCAAACAGAGCCAAAAAACCCCTTTGCAAACCTGCTAGAAATTAACATAGAATATTCCCATGACTAGAAGAGCACTGATGTTCTCCCAAGTTGCCTGTCCTTCTAACTACGTCAGATACTGCTCCTAGGGATGCACGTCTTTTACCTACTTGTTGCTTGCCGTGTTCAGTACTGTAAGTTACTTTGTGAAGGGCTGGTAGATCCTCCTGCTGAGAGCAGAAAGCAAAGCTTAATGTAACACAGTTGCTAACTGCATCTAACGTACAACAGACAACGAAAATTAAAGCTACTAAGAAAATTATTTTTCTGAAAAGGAGACACAAAGGTGCAGCATAAAGAAATGCAAATAGTTTTTGATAAGATGAAATATTCTGTGAACAGTATGCCATTTTGCTGCTTGGAACCTCCTCACCATGGAAAGGAGTTCCTTTGGCCTCACAGAGCTGGATTAGCTCACAGAATCACAGGATGTTCGGGGTTGGAAGGGACCTCTGTGGGTCAGCTAGTCCAACCCCCCTGTCGAAGCAGGGTCACCTACAGCAGGTGGCACAGGACCTCGTCCAGGCAGGGTTTGAATATCTCCAGAGAAGGAGACTCCACAACCTCCCTGGGCAGCCT